TTCATACATTCTGCACTATGTTTCTTTTAATATTAAATCTTATAACCGCTACTTCGATTTTGTGGTTTCTTCTTCCCACTGGGAATACGTGTGGAAACGAGTTCTGATATATATTCCTATTGATTAATTCTATTCGCAATTTTAATAACCATCCTGGTCGAGTTGATTGAACGATGTGAAACAGATCGTAGTTGTTGTTTGTAAAAACAAAATTGTTGACAAATCCAAGCGGGAAAAATTCAACCAATATTTGTCGTTCTAGTATATTGCGTGATGTGGGTTCAAATTGCGATTGTATTAATATTTTGAATGCATGCGCGGTCAACAAATTTATTTGTTATATCGACTGTGACAATGTTTTTTTACAATAACCACAAAAATATATTTATATTATAACGGATATTTTCGTGACAATTCGAATTTCGTGAGATTCCAATTTACTCGCTGAGTTTTATTTTCTTTAAAATTTCTTTCTCTTTCTTTCTCTCTCTCATTCTCTCTCTCTCTCTCTCTCTCTCTCTCTCTCTCTCTCTCTGTCGATCTCTTTTTCAATTGTTTGCGTAAACTATTTTGTATTCTTTAAAATTTTTTTTCAGTATTTAAATGTATGTTCCTATTTTGCGAAGTAGTTTTTCTGTCTCAAGTATGCGTACATTTTTTTCAGCTCTTGAAATCTTTTTTACAAGATCTCGTAATACGATCGAGAGGAATCGTCAATAAACGCGCGAATTCGTGATTCGAGGAGAAAACTCTTCTTCAGTAGAGGTGCTGATTCTTCACTCACAAGATTGGATTTCACGTAAACACGCGAGCATTCGATTACAATTTGTAACTTACGATTCACATATAATATAAACATTCAAAAGAGATGTACTCTGTTTATTTTCGTATTTGTGAAAATAAACGTAATTAGTTTATTTAAAACGATCATAATTCTGATAAAGATCTTTATTGATAACATGAAGAGAAGAAAAATATCAATACAGAAAGAAAAATTATATTATAGAAATAAAAAATTATGAAATGCAATATTGATTCTAACGTTATTATTGTATGTATATTTCTACTCGTTAACCACTACATTCATTAAAGTTATTATTAAAATATAATAATATAAAGTTTTCACATATGCAATTTATTAAAAATATTTATATAAATAATAAATTATAACATAAAGAATTTTGTAAAGAGCAATAGCTACATTATAATTGCTTTCTACGTTTTAAAAAAAAAACTTCGATTTATTTTCGAATACATAATAATTTTTCTTGAAAATTTTATGTGTTCAAAAAATAATTTTAGAGAAAATAGAAAATATTTGAAGCATATCTTTAAAGCATATTATTCTTGACACATTTAAAATTATATTACTTTTATTATAATTTTTTTAATGTAATAATCCTAAGAATCCAAAAATAGATATTAAGAAATTAAGAATTCTATTATATATCACAATTTTATACTTTGAATATTATAACAAAGAATCATATATTTATTCAGTTACTATAAAGTCAACTATATATTACCAAAAACATTAAATAAAGTGCAGTGCACTATTTTCTAACTACTGTGAACAATATCAATGAGTTTTTCTATTAAATATTAAGTATATTTAAAGCATTATATTTAAAGTTTAATGTCAGGCTAATTTCTATATCAATCTTATTATAGACAATAGTTTTTTACTGTGATAATGGCGACGTAAACTGCTTACGGGAACAATATCCTCTACCTATCTACTAACTCTTGTGTTGAATTTGATTCCCTTTTAAGGTTACGTACGTAGATGCAAGAATTTTAACGTTAAGGATTCTACTTAGAAAAAGTTAGGAACTTCCTTACGAAGATTTGTTAAAAAGATATTAAATGTTTATTAGATATATTTTGTTATATTTTTACTGTATCTTTCTTTCATGTGCATATAAGATATAACTATTTTAAAATTTTAAATTATTTATAATTCTACTATATAATCATCCAAAATTAACATCCTGATTATTTTATTACAATATATTTTTTTAAATATTACATACATAAGAAAAAGATACATATAATTATTTAAAAATTTAAAAATAATGCAAACAATATAGTACAATAAAAAAATATATTTTATAATTTCCTATAACTTTATTATCAAGTTTTGTACATATATATTTATTTTTTCAATTCTAAAATTAGTTGATAGTACAACAGTACAATATGTCGATAGCGCAATATGTTTATTCTTTTTAAATAATAGTTTATTATTTACATTCTTGAATCAAATACAATTTGACTTTTGAATTATATTTTTATAATTATATATTTTTATTTTAATCTTAATTTACGGAAGAGTATTTATTTCACACTTAATTTCTTTTTTAAATTAATCCAATTTAATGTTTTATACTGTATTAATCATTTTATCTGTTTGCTTTTCATAAATGATATTCCAATTTTTCTTTTTTTTACAATAAATCATAGTTGAGTTTCACGACGAATTACGTTAAGTAGAAGCTGCTGCCTGATTAAAAGTTGTTCGTTACTTTTGTCTTGTCTTGTAATTACTTAGGGGTAGACAAAGCTTTGAATCGAGGACGATCTAAATTTTATGATACCGCCGATTCATCTTTCATTAAAAGAATTCATTCGCATCTATTTAAATGCAAAAGAAAGCGACGTCAATATCTTTAGAATCGAGGAAAGATCTTTTTCAAATAATAAGTACAAATCTTTAATTAAAAATTATGCAAACAACTATTGAGAATCCCACTGTATGTACATATCTCGAATGTTTCTTTTGAAAGTAAAATTTTTGAAATAAAACTTGAAATGAAAGGTTTAAAGATATAATAAATCTATGTATAAAAACATTGTTTCAATATTTCTTATAAAATTATCTCAGTAAGAACAAAACAGTAAGAACGAAAATTTCAGAAAATTCAATAATTCTTCTATCAAAAATATTTTTGAGAATACTTCTAATAAAATAAATTTGTTTTATTACTCGAATAAATATGTTTATTATTCTAAACTTAATATAAAATAATTATTATATTATAATATACATAAATTTGAGATCTTGTTAACTTCTTTATATTTTTATGTTTCATTCGTTTATTATTATCTTTAATATCATTTTTTATATTCTAAATTCACACTTATTATCACAAAAAAGAATAACTACTATCAGATATATGAAAGATCAGCTGAGAATCTCTGCTGGAATGTGTTCGTCGATTATTATTTGAGAAACGAGGAAGAGACTTTCCTGTATTCTAAATATCTTCTGCCACATGAACCAGGAAGTCATTAACCTCTTTTCGCTTTTAATATACTGCCACTGTGTGTCGTCATTTTACTGATGACGATGTAGTAATTAAAGATCGCCGCGGGCATTTTGAGAATTTGACCGATGTTTCATTATGTCAACTACTGATATACAGTTGTGTAATTATATCGCATCCGGACTATGTACTGCTTTGTAATGTCGAAAAATAAAAGAGGATAAAGTATTCTCACTGCGTTGTCCAGTATTACGTTGGTTTCCTTTTAAGAGCGACATGACAGATAATTATGATTCATATAATCCTCGTTATGATACGCGTAGCTGCGTTTTTCAAGAATTTCGAAATTCTTGTGTGTGAAAAGCTTTATTTATTACTTTCACATTTTTTACATTATATTTTTTATATTATTATTACTGCATATGTCATTTAATTTGAAATGCATTAAGTTAATGTAGAAAAATAATCTCAACAAAAATGATAATTCCAAGTAGCTGAATATGTAATGTTGTTCGTGACGATACATCCATCATGAGGCTTGCACAAATTGATATATTTTCGCTACTCCAGTTAAAAATGGCGAACTTTACTCACAAATATAAATGCTCTTGAAATTCTTTTATTAGACGTCCTGATATCGATCTATTCTAGTTATATAGTTCTAGATTATAACAATTTGCTAAGAAATGTATCTCTGTCTCCTTTATATAATTATACATAGCTACTAGCTAGAGGCAATTGCATTATATAGGAGTTCATCCACAAGTAAATCCTCTTAATGATATCGCCTGTAACACATATATCCACTAATACATACAGACAGTTGAAAGTTCGGAGAGGCCTTGACGTAATAATATCCATCATCTATCTCGTGCAAATACGAGTAACAAATATTTTAACAAGCGTATCGTGTTCAAGTTCAAAATGAAAGATTAGATGCTCAACTTTAGTCATTGGTGACATTCCACCTAAAATTTTCATGAAATTCAGATTACACATAACGAAACATTATGTGTTAATGTATAAAAGGTGTTAAAGTTTAATTAAACAAATTAATATCCTAAATTTCACTCTTTCAAAAACGAGTAATTTGATTACGTGTGATTAATGAGAATCCTTTGATCTGTCGATCGGAGCAAGTTGATTAAATTATTTATTCCTTTTGACAGAATTTATATCGGTCCATCGAAAAGTAGATCGGACGAAATGCATTTGATGTGTCTCATATATAACTGTCTGTCGTTTTACAGAAGTACTTTGTATCATCAAAAACCTCGATATATTAATAAAAATGGTGCTAAATCAAACGGTGAAGCTTATCAAACTAATATCATGCATGGCAATCAAAATGAAGTTTTAATCTTTATCATCATCGACCGACAATTATTCCTGCAATTGATAAAACTTGCATCCGACCAATAAATGTAATAATGGATATACGAAAATTGATAGTAAACTGTGCGAAATTATCGCGAGATAATTTAGTGCGATTTAGACTAAATTATACAAGAAATGATGAAAAGTTTACAAAAATGCTCAAAAGACTTGAATTGGAAATTGAGGAGGATGAAAATTTCATCCTAGAAGAAAATATTCATAATAATTATATATGTGTAGACTCTGTGTATAAAGAAATATATTTAAGATATATATAAAAAAAGATCTTTGAAGACTACATTTAAGAAAAAAAAAGACAAAAGAAAAATAAAGAATAAATAAAAAAAAGAGAAAGAAAAGGATTAAGTTACATAGTAATAAAATATGTATATATATTTGAGTCATTTTTTGTATACAGAACAGTGACATACAGAATGGTGCTATGCAATATTATTTTCGCTAACAAAAGATTATGTATACATCACAATTGTGTATTGGCTATTATATAAATAAATTGGATATTGGACCAGTGACAAAAGTACGGAAATCATGTTGCGTGGGAAATATAATTTTCTGAAGAGATTTCGAAGAATACGGAAATATTTTTTAAATTTTCAATACGCAACACAAAATGTCACTCAATAATATCTATAATTAATTCAAAACTTAAAAACGTTTCAAGAAATCCTGAAAAAAATGCAATATCCGATAATATCAGATATTAATCACAATGTTATATAATTATATTAAAATATGAATGTGTATTAACAATGATTTCTAAGGAGAGCTAATCAATCTATTTGCAATGATAAAAAATAATTCATTCAATGACGCTCTTATCATCATCGTGGACTTTCAAAACACCATGAAGTCTAAAACGAACGAGGGATCATTCAAGAAAAATCGTTTCCTGCAACATAAACGGTGAGCCAACATTTACCGTCACCATGATGAACGTAATGGCGGCGATGTCGACGAGCCTACCTCAAATGGATTCTACGTCTTCATCCGTCTTCAACAATACTATTGCCGCCTTTAGCACAACAGCGACTACAACAACAGCCGCAAATGTAACGTCATCAGTAGAAAATCCGACGGTGGAAAATCTTCCCGAAAATGTCAACGTGCTAGTGGTGGCGATCAAGGGTATTATTATGGGCACCATCATCACTACGGCGGTTTTGGGCAACATGCTAGTGATTGCCAGCGTGCGAAGGCATCGTAGATTACGAGTAGTCACTAACTGTTACGTCGTCAGTCTGGCAGCGGCCGATCTCTTGGTGGCAATGTGCGCCATGACTTTCAATGCCTCAGTGGAGCTCTCAGGAGGAAAATGGCTTTTTGGGACGGTTATGTGCGACCTGTGGAATTCGCTGGACGTGTACTTCAGCACCGCCAGCATCCTCCATCTTTGTTGTATCAGTGTGGATAGATATTATGCCATAGTAAGCCCGCTTGAGTACACAGTGATAATGAAGCAGAGTACTGTGGGATGTATGCTGGGTAGCGCTTGGGTCCTGCCGGCGCTGATAAGCTTTATTCCAATTTTCATGGGATGGTACACGACAAAAGAACATCTAGAATACATGGTGAAGCACCCGGAGGTACGGAGAAGGTTTTTTTCTTTAAATAGCTTTAAAAAGTGTTTGACGTATGAGTTATGAATATGGAAATTGGTAATTTTTTAACCATATAAGTGGAAATACAATAACTTTTTAACCATATAAGCTATCTTGATGTAAAAGATGGAATATTTTAAAATTTGCAAAAATTTTAAAATAAAAAATTTCTAACTTCAATGATAATAAATGATCTTTTTAAAATTTTTCGTGCAATTTTCTTAATTCACGTTTTTTTGTTACATTAATTTATCAGCTGTTACTAAATGATTTATTTTTATTGGCTATTGTATCTCATTAAATTATATTAATAATCGAAATAATTTGCGATATTTTTTGGTGTTTCAGAGTTGCGAGTTCCGAGTAAATTTACCATACGCCCTCATCAGTTCCTGCGTATCCTTTTGGATCCCAGGTCTGGTGATGATTATCATGTACTGTAAAATCTATAAGGAGGCGATTCGACAACGAAAAGCGCTCAGCCGGACGTCCAGCAACATCGTCCTTAATAGTGTACATCATCATCGTTCATCTACACGGCACCATCATCATCAACAGATGTTGCTGCAGGCCGCTGCCGATACCGGTGAGCTAGCCCTTCATACAGCACACTTCGCAGTGCCCACGGAGCTCCACGCCGTTAACGGTGAGTGGAACTCCGTTCATATGTGTGTATTCAATTATAATATATTTGTACAAATAGAAAAATCCGAGATAAAAGCTCAAAACTCTTTATGGGATTAATAAATAATAGTATACTTAAACCATCTAATACCATATATTTTAAACAAGCTTTTTTGATAATTTATTAGAAAAAAATTTATTAGAAAGGTTACTCAATAATATTACGTCAATAATGTTGAAGAAAATATTTAAAACATATAATTCAAAACAGAAAATAATAGAGAATATTAGGTTTTCAGATACTTTCAGATTGCTATCTACGAGGTTTATGTGTAAAAGTCATATATATGACTGCTGTATGTAGTTAGGTATTCAAATTCAAGTTCAAGGTGTGAAAGATGTCTTGTAAGCACAAAATTGTGAACTCAAATTATGCGATGAAATGATAAGAATTAGCAAGTAACAGTTACACTGGCGTCGAAGTTTAATGCACAATCAAGACTTGAAACGTATATTCTTGCATCGTGCGTCTGTTAGCGTGGTCGTATATTTCGACAGAAATGGTAAATGCTCACTCGCGTGAAATCCTCTTATCTCCTTAAGCCATTATACGAACGTGAATGTCCCCTTCACTTCCATGTACAGAACGGTGAGCAGAATCCACTATTTCTACTGCAGTATCCATAGCGTATTTTGCGCGATTACGCAATGAAATGCGTTCTATCATCCTATATAGAGCCTTTCCTAATAATATCTTCCGCGATCCATTTTGACGGCGACATCAATTTAGTTCCATATTCTCGATCGATAGAGTGGTTTGATAACAGAATGTTCTTGTATACAATTATCGAGAGAAGTAATATATTGTTGTATAAGGATAATTTCAAATATTATAAAAGTTTTTTAAAATTTAATTTAAAACATAAAATGTATTTTTTAATTAGAATCCATAATGATAATTTCAATAATTTTTTATTTTATAATTTTTTGTAAAGAAAATTATAGAACTTTTTAAAAAAATTTGCATCAATTTTCTCTTGACAAAAATTTTTGAAACTAATTAAAGATTTAAATACAACAATATCTTCTAAGATTTTTGAGAACACGTTTAGTCGTTTTGTGATAAGCGTGCGAGATTTATAAATTGATACAAGATCTTTAACACGGTTCATTATATATGATGAAAGCGATTTGTAATTATCTATGGTTGGCAATCGAAAACGGTAGTGAGCATTATTCATGCGGGAAAATAGGATTTTGCGGTTCATTAATAAAATCACGTTTCAGCTATTCTCATCATCAATGAGTGTCATAACAGTTCACATGAATGAATTGGAGCCACCATTAAATCTCAATTCTTAAGAAACTCAAATTTATAAAAATAAGATAATGAAATTTTCTTCATATTTTTATATTAAAAAATAATCCCATTTTTAAATATAACATATCTCTATTTCATTTAAATTTATAATAAGATTTTTAAATTATTAAATTTTAAATTAACAATTGCTTAATTAGTTTAAATCTTTTATAATTGAATATTGATTTGATTCCTTTTTAAATAATTAAAATAATAATTAAAATCTATTTTTTCAGAATCAATTAAACTCTTATTAATTAAAATAAAAATTTAGATCATAAAGGAGTAAAATAAATCAATAATAAATAATACACTTGTAATTAATCACGTGCGATTTTAATAAATTTAACGATTTGATATCTACTTCAATCAAAATTGATTTAAAATAAAAATTTTAAATGTCCGTATTTAAATGTATAAATAACATGTAATATTCTCTGGTTAATGAAAGCCGAGCGCAATTTCGATAATTCGAATAGTCTGACGTGCTTGTTCTTCAACAAGCTTGCATTCTACGAATATGTAATACGCTCGCATGCACATAGTCTGGAAAATAATACTGAAGTCAAATTGTTGGCTGCCAACATTAACATATGCGCTATATTAAATATTTTCATGTCAGTCTGAGATTTCCTATCAAAATAATGTTCTAAATTATGCGCGATGATGGAAATACTTGAATTTCAGATTCACGCATGCTTTCCAGTATTCTACAACATTATATTAATTTCGTAATGAATGTTCTTATCGATTTCGATTACAGAATTTGATTACATTTCTTCAGTTTTTATTTTATTGTCTATTAAACAGTTATATATTATCATTTAATTATATCCTAATATTTATTAATAATTTATTAATAATTATATCCTAATATTTATACTAACATTTAAAAATTGTATAGATATCTTTCTTGATTATATAATTGTTGAAGGGAACATTCAAATTAGTAATCATAATTAACAATATTTAATTGAACAGTACTTTTTAATTGGATTTTTACAGATATGAATACTTTAGAACAATTCAGACTGTTTAAAGATAAAATTATTTACTATTGTTATTCAATAAAAATAGCTTTGTCAATCATTATTGTACTGATCAGTATGGATGTTATCAGATACCTTCATTTTAAATTGTTAAAGTATCAGTTGAACATTAAATCATGCGACTATGAAATATCGGTGAAAGTTTGTGCAATAATATTGGCGTTCGCGAATTTTGTTACCACAGTTATATATTCTTGCAGAAATTGTTACTGAATTGCAACCGCAACGATTCAATAGAAAGCAAGACAGGAATTAAATATAGTTATTACACTTTTTTCTGCATTTTTTTAGTTCGTTAATTTATTTAATAAGATGATACAATTTTTCATTTCGATTATTTAAAATATGAATTACAAATTTTTATGTATTTTGAAGTAACTCGATTTTTATATATTCCGAGAATTTCTTTTGGAAAAACTTTCATTTATTTAGAAAAATATTCATATTTTAATGGTTATATCTTTGATGTATATTTTAATATAGACAGATAAAGATACACAGAGAAAGGATAAGATAAAAAGACAAGCACACAAAGCTGTCTTTTGGATTGGATTTCTAGGAGTTGAAATATATAGAATACATGGGAGAGTAATCAACAGATTTGCATATGGCTCCAACCCGTTTCATCGACCGTTTTCATTAGCGTGGTTTTATCTGTCGACTCGGACAGTCTGAAAATTCAATTAAACTCCATCAAGTTAGTAGTGCATCCGTGCCAGCAGTACCTTTCCCTTTTCCGTCGCGATGAGGATAAAAATTTCGTTGAGCTATTTTTGTTGAGAAAAAATAATTGATTAATCCTGAAAAAGCTATTTTACGAGTTGTACAAATAACTCGTTAACCGAAAAACGTGTCGTGATGAAAATTTAAAAAGCAATTAATTCTTAAAGCAAAGAGTAAGCTGTAAATATACAATTAAAGTATATTTATTATTTGCAGGTATATTAAAAAAAAGCAATTTTATATTACATATATTTTATTTTTAGTTTATATATCTTTTTATATTATTTACTTTATTTCAGTTTTCCATATTTTCATAATATTTATGTTATACAATTTTACATAATATTATTTCATAATTATAACTTATATTAATTATATAGCTATCCATTTCATATTTAGATTCTATGTTATATTATCTTATATTATTT